GCCCGGGGAAGGGCAGCAGAGGAGGGGTGGGCCCGGGGAAGGGCAGCAGAGGAGGGGTGAACCCGGGGAAGGGCAGCAGAGGAGGGGTGAACCCGGGGAAGGGCAGCAGAGGAGGCTGCTGAGCCACATCCCCAGCCCATGTGGCTCTGCAGCACAGCCATGGCCCCTCAGGCTGCTCCTGGCCCCCTGCTCACACCAGGTGGTTGTGGGTGTGAAAAATTCAGCTGCCTAAACGTCAGCGAGGCAGGAAGCAGGTTCCTGTGAGCAGGATGGGGCAGGGGCATGTTTGGACCCTCTTTAACTTTGTGAAGCCCACACTGAATGAGTTTGCTTCTTCTGCAGCTTAACCCTCAGCCTCTACAGCTTTGCTTTCTTTCTCCAGGGTCACATAAGCTTCCTGAAGGATCTGGTGTCCTGTGATTATTCATACCTGTGGGTTAGGCCCTCGGTGTCCCGAGAGCAGCTACAAACTATTTCTGCAGAAGCAGATGAAATAGGAAAACTAGTCCTAGGGTAAGTGTCTGTTCCCAGCTCCGTGCAGAGCTGCCTGGAGCATTGCTCTTGGCTGCTCTCCTGACGTCAGACATGCTCATGGTTCTTATTTCAGCTGTTCTGCCTTGGAATGTGCTGTAGTTAAGAACTGCTGAGAAAATCAGTGTTCTTAATTGAAAGGCAGGTTTCAATTAGAAGAGCTCCAGGAAAGCTCACATCAGTGCTCCCAAGCAAGAGCTGTCTGGTCTGGGTGTGGTAAAGCAGCAGGCCTGGCAGAGCTGCTGAGCCAGCGGGGGGCTAACGGAGCAGGGTGGCAGCAGCATTCCCTGTGCCACCTGATCTGAGCATGGAGCTGGAGAAGGATGAGGTGGCTTCACTCAGCATCTATTCAGATTATGGAATGAGACTCCTCAGTCTCTGGGGCAAACACAGTTTGTGTCCAGCTGGAATCACTGTCACTTCTGAGAAGCTCACCCCTGGGGGCTGTTCCTGCCCCTGTCTCTGTTCCTAGCACACAACCCACAGTTGTCTGCTCGGACACCTTGCTGGGATGGCAGATGGTCCTGCTGCACCAGCAGTTCTGTGGTGTTGTGCCAATGTGCCCCACTCCTGCCCCACGTCCCTCTGCTGCTCCCCACCTTGCAGCTGTGTGGGGCAGTGTGTCAGTCACCTTTCCAGTTCAGATCTCACATCGGGACCAAAATGAACCCTGGAAACCAGTCTGGGGAGTAATTACAGTGGCAGGATCTGCATTTGAGTTATTCTTTCCAGCTCTTTCTAAAGTTGGCTGCACTTAGTCATCCCTGGCTGTATCCAAAGACGAGTCACCAGCAGGGCAGGGAGGGGACCCTGCCCCTCTGCCAGCTCTGGGAGACCCCCCTGCAGTGCTGGGGCAGCTCTGGAGTCCTCAGCACAGCAGAGCCAGGGACCTGCTGGAGCGGGGCCAGAGGAGCCCCAGCAATGCCCCGAGGGGGGAACCCCTCTGCTGGGAGCCCAGCAGGAGAGAGTTGGGCTGGGGCAGCTGAGAGGAGAAGGCTCCAGCTGGGGAGACCCCCTGGGGGCTGCCAGGGACTGACAAAAAGCTGGGGACAGACATTTTAGCCAGGCCTGTTGCAGCAGGACATGGGGTGATGGTTTTAAACTAAGAGAGGAAGATTGAGACTAGAGAACAAGAAGACATTTTTTACAAGGGGGGTGTTGAGCCCCTGGCCCAGGCTGCCCAGAGAGGTGGTCACTGCCCCATCCCTGGCACCATCCCAGGGGAGGTTGGCTGGGGCTCTGAGCACCCTGCTCTAGCTGCAGATGTCCCTGTCCCTGCAGGGGTTGGACTAAATGGCCTTTAAATGTCCCTTCCCACCCAAACCAGCCTGTGACTCTATGATTTGTCACAGCTGAGTGGTAACTGAATCCAAGTGATGTCAATTGGAATGTCAGAATACTCCTTACCCTGGAGGGGCAGTAGCACCTGCAGCTGAGCAGCAGCAGCCGTTCCCCTGCAGTGCCCCTGCCAGGCAGGGAAGGTTTCCTTGGACTGCTGCTCTTACTGGGAAGTTTTGCAAAACTCACCTGAGGTAGCTGGCAGTCCTCAAAGTTGTCAGTCGTTTCTGGGAAGGAATCCTGTGTTTTGTATGTCCCCAGACTGTGAGGACACCTTCTTTCCTAAAGGCTCATGACAAGACAGACAGCTGTTTTGACTGTGGAAGAGTTGAACAAAGACCTGAGGAGCCTCCAGAAGCAAACCAAGGAGACCAAGTACAGCAGTGTGATGCAGCTCCTTCGCTTGGCTCTCAGTGGGAAGCAGGTAAAAAATACAACTGAGACTGGGACCTTTTTTTTTTTTTTGACAGCTCTCTTCTCTCTGACAGCAGACAGTGCTGTGGGGGTGTCTGACAGGAACTGAGGTCAGTTGCTGTTGTGAGTGAACGTACCAGTGCACAGCCCTTCTAGAAGAAAGAGCTGTTCTAAGAGTTTCAGAAAGGGAGGTGTTGTCAGAGCCTGAATCTGCTGGTCATAAACCTGAGGTTAGCCAGACCCCTGGACCAGCTGTAGGGAGCATTGGCCAGGTTGTAGGTTTAGGGCAAAACTGGGATTTTATGTGCAATCTGCAGTTGCAAAACTCAAAACCAAGTCACACAAAAGTTCTTCAAAGCATAATCCTGACTTATGCTCTGGTGTCAATGCTTTTGGGTCAGTTTGACCATCCTTAGGAGAAAAAAAACCCCAAAGCCTTGTTTTGTTGCTGGCAGCCCCTGCCCTCTGGGTGTCAGCAGTCTGGTAGCTGATGGCCCCATCGCTTCTGCCACAGCAGGGCACAGGCAGGGCTGGGAAGGGCCAGTTCCTGTTTGTACAACGACCTCCTGTCTGTTTGCAGCATGGACCCAGCGTGGCCGAGATGATGGTGACCCTGGGAGCCAAGGAGGTGTGTGGGCGAATCCTCCAGGCTCTGTCCAGCTGAGCGGGGACCGAGGGACGCCGGCAGCCGGGCCGGGGACTGGGTGCTGTGGGCAGCACGTGCTGTGGCCCCAGCCCTGTAGTGCTGGATCTCGGGGTGCTGCTCTTTGATCAGCTGAGCTGGCTGAGGCCGGGCGGGGTCACTGGGTTGGCAGGTTTGTAGGTATCTGCACTAAGCATAAAGCACCGGGTCTGTGAGAGGAGCTAAATACAGTTCAGTCTGTCCTGCTGCTCTCATCTCGTGCCTGGGGCCTGGCTGCTGGGCTGGGGGAAGGGGACACTGATCCGTGTGTAGATCCAGGCCACGAGGACGGAGGCAACGCCGTGTCAGACCAGCAGGGCTCCTCTCAGCCCATCAGCCTCTTTTTGGAGAGACTCTCAGCCACAACTGCACAGGTCCCCAGCA